ACTCTTTCGCTATGCCTACCGCGTTAAAAACATTTTTTATTCCCACTACCTCAGTTTCAGTACTTTCCAATATACTGCAGTATCTGGCTTTGATAACTCTCTCTTCCAAAATCAGCAATGACTTCTCCCTGGCTACTTGACAACGGTGAAAATTTTCAAAGTAACTTAATCTTCTAAATTAAATCTGCTTGATTTATTTATTTTTAAGGCCTTTTGTCCATCGTCATCCTTCTTGATTTGTCTCCTGCTTTCTCAGTGTGTGAACCGTTAGCACCTGAGCTCCCCCAAGATTTAGGAGTTTTCTCATTCTTACGTTACCTCAGTGGTCTTCCAGTGTTCCTGTGACACTTCCTTTGTCATTGTACTATATGATACCCTCTTGACTGTTGAGAGTTTGGAATATTCAGAGTGATCTATAAATAATAATATTTGGGGTTCTGAGCATTAATTTTAAAAAAAAAGGTAATATGTAATAGAAGATACTGACTTTGGTCGGTAGAAGAAAAGATATAGGACTTTGAATATGACTACATGTAATGAGATGACTAGTAAAATTCAAATTTACATGGCTGGAAAATAGTTTTAAGGACAACTAAATCCATTTTAATTTTGATTATATCTGTGTACAGGTTCAGCTGTCTTTAATGAATGCACTCTAAACATACCACGTACATTAGTTTATCATAAATTTCTGTAAGCATCCATAAGAAAGCATGTCTTCTGTACAAATGCAAATAAGAAGGTATATAAAGTCGTTCTCAGTTTAGGACAAGCAAGAACAGGTATACTGAGTTAGCATAAAGTTCATAAAAACATACTGAATGAGTGTAATATAATAGCAAAAGCAGGTACTCAAGAAAGGAGTATAAGCAGCAGGGCATGTACAGTGATTCTTCTTGTGCAACTTCCCAGCGTTCACTAACTGTTGGATTTTGAGGACTTACTAAGTCGAAGGTCTGGGATATTGTGTTTTCTAGTATATGACGCACCTATCCATGACGGATTTGTCAAATACCTTTTTAGACATTTATACTTCTGGTCTCCTCAGCATCCTTTGGGAACATTTTTCAAATCTTAGTAATTCATTACATTTAGGAGAAAATACTGTTGTTTGCGAATAATTTCCTTGGTTCTCTGAGTTATTATGTTATGTGAAATATCTAATAAATAATGAGAGTACATGTTCCCTATGATATTGTAGACTGAAATAGATGAGAACCTATATGGACTGCTTAGTTGCTCTTTTTTTTTATTTTCAAGAAAAATTCTGAGCATTGTCGATATTTTTTGCATATAATGCATTTTGTCTTTTTTCACATTATCAGAGTCCTTCTTAAAGTTTGTTAGAAATATGTAAATCAAAGAGAATATGTAGTTTAATCATCATGTTACAGATGCTGTATTTACAAATATGTCTTCCAACTTTCCACTTTATTTTTATAGCACTAATAATAATTTATCCTGTATTCATGTGAATGTCACCGCATAATTTAACTTTTAGACTGCTGAAATGCTCTGAACTTTTATAAGTTTGTTATGCTCTGAATTTATATGGAACTTGGGATATGGGCGTTTATGGTATGCTTATGTGCATTAGTTAGCAATGTTTGGTGACATGATTTGGTTGCCAGTGCATGGGTGTGTAGCACCTTTAGAGGTGGCCTTTGGTGTTCCACCTGGCTTATTTATAGCTGCTGTGCTGGGTGCTATGGTCCTCTGTCATGTTTACCAGCGCCGCGCCGATGCTTTGGCTACCAAAGGGCATCTCCATTGGCACTGGACAACTATGTGTGAGCGACTGAACTAAGGCCTTGATTTTGGGAGGGGAGCGTGGGGATTTCTGTGATCGGTAGTATTAAAGACATGAGTAATAGAAATAAATATTACTTGAAAAAATCAAGATTTTCAAGAGGCTTCAGCAGTAAATGCAGCTGTTGTTGCTTAATGGCGTTTCATAACATCTGGTTGCAGGTTTGCATCAGTCATGAACGTGGGGGAAGGACGAACGCGAAGTGCAGAGTTTTGGGTGGACTGGTCCTTACTTAATCCGTGTTATAATGTCATGCTATATAATAGGAAGTAATCTGGTGGGTGTATTTGCCCAAATAAGATTTCTGAGTCCGCTGAAACCTGGAAATTCCAGCAGAATGCTGATTGTTGTTGGAGCCAGGGTTATATTATGATTTAATGGCTTTTCTGGGCTTCATTTGATGACCTGGCCTAGAAAAACATTTTGAAGTAATAAAGCGTCTGTTTGGCTCCAAACTAATGAGAGAAGCATTGCTCTTTGCATTAACTGTTCTTTAGGAAGAGCCGCAGAGAGCTACTAATAAACCTTATTAAAAAGCTTAAGCCAGATTGAAGGAAATAGAAAACAGAGAAACTATTCCATTCCATGTGGAGTGAGTACATAAGAAAAAAAAAAGGCAAAAAAAAAAAGCAAGCCCACGGGGTTTTTGCCTCTCCTCCATGTGACTCGCAGCTTGCTGCACTTCAGTTACGTTGCCTCTGAGATATGTTGAAGTGCAGCTCAGTTTAATGAAGAAGTGGATAGGACAAATCAAGGCTAGAGACTATTGACAGCAGAGATTGGGTAAGTAAATGCAACTGTAGATAAGTGTTTACTAATATTGTGCAATTGTTACGATATCTAGCCTGTAAATACTAGAGCTATCATTTTTTGGTGGTCCTTTCTTAGTTTTACTTAAGTGATTTGCAAATGTGGGTGGGACATGCTATGCGACGAATTTAATTTTATTTTTTCAGACTTCCTACCACAAAAGAAATAACTTTCCTTTAATTTCATGTACTTAATTTTGTTTTAAATTCTTTGCTATGTAAGTAACTGCTTCATCTATTTTAGTGCAGTGCTCAAAATAATTTCAGTGGGAGTTAGCTGATAGTTTCTGGTGCCTTCCTGTTATTTTACTTATTTTGCTACTGGTGAGGGAGAGGGGAAAACAGCTTATACTCTGAACCTCCTAGATACAGCATTTTCAGATTTTTAGAATCTAACTCCAGACCACTGAAAATTCCCCAGCATTAACTTGTTCCAGGAATTCATTCAACCATCGTAGTAGGATCTGATTTCAGCTGTTTGCTTTTGTTCTCTGTATCTTTTTATAAAGCTTTGTAGGTATTCCTATACTGAGTTTTATATAGAAAGTTCTGTTTTAAATGTATTTGTGTTTACATTTGTGTAAATTTAATATCAATATACAAGATAGAGAAATATGATGAAAGCTTTTGCTGTTGCTGCTGTTTAAGACTTCCAGGCTTTTGACTGTGATTTGGTTTTGTCTCTAGCAATTTGAATGGACCGTGCAGTTGCTATAATGCTGTTATGAAATAGGATTGCAACCTTAGTCGATTAGGAATTTCCAGAAGGGTTGTTTTAGCAGTTTCAGTGCCTGCCATTTGAGTTTTTAAATCTCAGTGCATTGACAAAAAGCTGAGAAGCAGGCACGAGCAATATACGTTGGAAAGACCTATACTGAAGCCTGATTAGAATCTTGGGAACTGGAAAAGGAAAAGCAAACTCCTTCATTGTTGGTAGTGTATTAAAGAAAATATTTTTAAGTGTTTAATGTCTTGTGATCTAGGGTGTGTCTTCCTTTTGCATCACCTCACAGGAAAAGAGCATGTTAAATATTATAGTCTATCATGAGTTTTACTCTTTGGGTTAATCAGAGTGTGTTACCTTTTTCAGATAATCACTCCATTTAGGAGGCTAATATTGTGTGCTGAGAACAGAAAAGAAATGGAGGACTGGATAAGCTCTCTGAAGTCTGTTCAGTCCAGAGAACACTATGAGGTAAGTTGACATCCCTCTTGGTGCAACCTGTTCTAGCTCAACAGATCAAGCTACAGGAAACAGAACTGGAATATTCACCCTCCTTGCTGTGAAAAGTGTGTCTAGTGTCAGAGTGAAGCTTCATGTTAAGACCTGTACTAGCAAAATGAGAGCTTATTATCACACTTTTGTTTAGAAGTTTGGAGGGAGAGCAGGCTATAAACCCTTCAGAAAATACTTTCGGTGAACATTGCATTGTCGTCCCCTCTAATATGGAACCGTAGGTAATTTCAGTCACCGTAGCTGTGTTCTGTACTTGCAAATTTGTCTTAACTTCTCCTTTACTAGACCGCACAGTTTAATGTGGAACATTTCTCAGGGATGCATAACTGGTACGCCTGCTCCCATGCCCGACCTACCTTCTGTAACGTGTGTAGAGAGAGCCTCTCTGGAGTCACTTCTCACGGCCTGTCTTGTGAAGGTAAAATAAATGCTTTCTTCCCCCTGTTTATAATGCTGTGTATGTAGACAGATGGCCGAAAGTTTAAGATGGTAATGATTCTGAAAATAATGTGTAAGAAAAAAGCCTGCAGGGAGAAATCTACTGGCTAGAGTGACTTTCTTCTGGGCAGAGGACTGCTAATGATCCATCCCACCTTCTTCGTGCTCCAGGTTTCTTTTTCTAACTCATCTCAGGAAACTCATTTCAATAAAATGGTTCCTTCTGCTGCAGTGACCACTTTGGAATGTGCTGGGTGGACGGGCTGCAAGAAAAGGTAGTGTTGATTTGAGCTGCCCGTCAAAAATGTGAAACAAAATAGCCTTACTGGTTTGCAGAATCAGCATTCCTTAGGAAAAAAATCATAACGGTAGTTTCTGCCTCTTCCCTCTTCCTCCCCAATTCTTGTTTGCTCTGTTGCTGTTGCCTGATCCTGCAGTACAGGGAGGACAGATGAGGACAAATTTATTCCTTTAAAAATTCTGTCATGCAGTGAGGGGGTAGAGATGTAGATGCCTTTCCATTTTGATGGTTCAAGAGATGAAATCCAGCACAAAAATTAAAAGGAGATGTGGCTAAGACTTCAGCATTAAGCTTATCTGGAGAAATGGTATTTTGCAAACAAATATTGATAATAAACCTGAAACACCTTATTTATTTTCTGCTGCAAGTTCTGTGAAAAAGTGGTAACAAGTCTGCTTGTGTTAGAATCCAGCAGAAAACAAAGAATCCCTGTGACCTTATGATATATACGAAATGTAGAGACACGTAGATATCACAATAGCTAACTGTCTACAAAAGAGTGAGTTACACCATTCAAAACTTGATTTTTTGGATGCATGTTACCCATCTGCAAATGCATTTCTGCTATTGATGCTGTTATAATATTTGAGGTCTGAACATAATAATGTGTATTAAGGAAATCTTACAAAGGAAACATTAACCCACTGTCCTGAATTGTCCATGCTTTTAATGTAGCTAATGGTGCAGTTGCCAAGGAACGGGACGAACCTGTTTCATAGAAATTAGAAGTAGCATAGTTACTTCCACCTTCTCTGGTGTATGTTTTCCACTGTGTATAAGTCGCTTGGACAGTTTTAAGGCAATTATGGTATTTTCAATGTCTGATATCAGCAGATGGAAGTATCATGTGCTTAACTGAAATGCAGTTATATTGCCTCTGTGTACAAATACAGTTATATTTGCTCAGGCAAAGGAAAGGAAAGATGTACTTTCATTTCACAAAGACTGTGTCCTTTCCTAAGTTAATATTACACCTATTTAAAAAGGCTGTGTAGCAAGAATTGTTCTTGTAAGATTATCAGTGTTAATGGTTGTAGTTCATGATTTTCTGTTTTTTCAGTATCTTATTTTGCTTCTAAATATGGTTTTAATCTCCAAGGCATTGGCATTAACTTTACGTTAACAAAGTTTCCGTAATTTCCAGATTTGGACTTAGTCAACTTTTTGCATAACTTACTACAAAGTGATGCTACTTTTATCCACATTTATGATGCCAGTTGATCTTTCATCAGTTTTTACAAATGGCTTTTTATGAATCTTAGATTGGATTCGCTTTCACTGGTTCACAGTTTCATAAACACGTGTGGCCTGGATTGGTTTATATGTAGATAATATGATATTCTTTTACCCATTAATAAGTTTACCTCCTCTTACTTTTTAGCTACTAGTTTATATCTATTTTTTAATTTTTTTTTCCCAAGTATTTTTAAAAATAAAAGGAGAATTGTAATTATGCATCTAATCGAAATCAGTTGGAGGCTGACTCTTTTACTGGAATACTCATACTTTGTCCCTGATTCCGTATATATGTAAAAACCCACGTTTAACCATCCTTAATTTCTTCATAGAAGAAGTGTATTTTGGTTTGACACTACTTTGTTCTCTGAGAATCTTATGTGACTGAGTTCATATCTACTTGCTTCTGTCATGTGCACTTCTAATGCATTTCACCATCTATTTTTTTGACTTACCCCATGTTAGCAATAGACGCTGTTTCAGGAGACGATATAGGAAGTATGGAGTCTTAAGATTTGTTCTTAAGGACAGATCTGTTGTTTTTTCTTTGTTCTTAAGAACCCAGATGTGTTCTGTGCTAGTTTTTCTCATTACATCTTTAAAAATACCTGTTTAAATATTCATGCCTGGCATCTAAAAACCTCCAGTAGTGCTTTATGCTAGGAATCCATTTATATCTATACTAAATTCAATTATTTTTGTGGTCATTGAGCCCAGGCTACTCCATTAGCTCCTGAATTGAGAAGCATGAGAGGCTTCTTCTCAGGAGTTATTGGAGCTCTTCCTCCTGTCAGTGGTTTGGGTTACTGGCACACCAGGTTATCTTGAAAGTAGCCTAGAGTCTTTGTACTCTTGATGGTCTGATTCTTGACTGTTAACTATAGGTAAAAATAAATCCCACTGCTGATATTTTGCAGCTTATGATACTTTAGAAGATCAGTCCTGTAATGTTGTATTCTCTTAGACCTGCTTATCTCCAGCAGCGCTATACAGCTATTTTTTTTTTTTTCTTAGCCTGACCACAAAACAAGCCTCATTTCTTTTGGAGATAAAGTGGGTGCCTTCTTTTTTAGGGCCTCCCAGTAGCCTTTGCCAAAGGTTGACCAAATTCATTGCAGGCCACCTTGCTGTAAGTTTTGTGGAAAGCAGTGTAGGAATAGTCATTAACATACATAAGGGTATGTTAATGCCTTCCATAAGGAAAAGACTGTAGTGTGAACTTGCGTCTGAAGTCAGAGAATCAATACATATATAAAACTGAAGATGTAAATTCATACCAAACCAAACTTAGTCTTTCTACATCTCAAAAAACAATTGACTTCTAAAAAATTTAATTGTATGCTCCTTTGAGATGCAATGCTATTCTTCCCACTAGTTCCTTCTTTTTTATCTTCTCAAAAGATAATCTACTTTTCAAATGTTGTCTATGTGCTGTTGAGAAATTAAAATTTTCCTCTAGCTAGTTCTAAAGGACTTATCTCCCCTGCCTTCAGCCACAGCCTTTACTAGGACAGAGAAGTTATATTTTTTTGCCTTGTGTTGGAAATTGTTCCAAACCAGCTGAATCAAGTAAGGCTTTTGTTCTTGATGCTCCTCAAATGTTTCTCTAATTCAGAGTTTAGCTTGCTGTATGCTCATGAGTCTAAGCCTAAGAGGTTGCCAGATAAACATAAATATACATGAAATGTTTAGGCAAAGAAAGCTGAAGAATTGTAGGTCATTACCTACAGAAACTCTTCAAAAGCCTCAATTACTGTGTATTAATACTGCATTTCTATCCAAGTCATTGCCAGTGGAATGCTGCCTTTATAATTATTCTCAAAGATGTATTTCTCTATGTAGTGTTATCATAATCATGACAAATCTCAATTGTTAAATATCAAATATACCTAATAAACTGGAGACTGCAGCTTAGATGAGATGCTTTTTCCTGTGATGGATTGCCCAAACAAACAATATTGAAAGAACACTATAGGATTGTGAATTCAAGCAATAAGAAAATACTGGGATTAAATTGCCTCTACATATGCACTTTGTGCACTTGGTCTTTTTTTCATTATGATTGGGGTTTTTTGCCCACAAAACCCTGTTGTTCTTACCCAGTGCACATACATGCACTAGCTGGGTAGTAATCTCCATGATTTTTGCCACATTTTTTGCACAGGCTGGAGAGTGAATACTGAATGAAGTGGTCAAGAAGAGGAGGGGTATTCATAGTTAATAGAAAACTCTGTGTTCCATGGCTTCATATCATACTGTACCCCTCTGTAATCCTGAAGAAATCACTTAAATGAGATTTTTGATAAAATCAATAGTTGTGTGTTGTTTATAATCTGGGACCTATATCACAGAAACGGTGAGTTCTATGTAACTGAAAAAATTAATTGAAGCTGTGTTTTGAAGTCACTGATACTTGGAAGATATACAGTATTGAAAAAGAATGATCTTCATTGTCTTTTTGACAGACAAATTTATTGGGCGGTGTTGGCCTTAATGTCTCTGTGCTTCACTTACCCCTTTCTTAGAATGGGTATAAAATCAAACCCTTATTTTGGCAGTACACTGTGAAAACAAAGGTGCATTTTTAAGTATTCGAAAACTCTACTACTACTACTAATTTTAAAAGGCTGGGAAGAAATTAATATTTCTGTCTAAAAAGCAGTATTTCATTAGATATTTGTAAATAAGGCAAATACCTATTGAAAATTATTATGAAGCAGAGCATGGCACACCTATGTGCTTATCAAGAACCATCCCTTCCATGCAGTGAATGAGGATCCCATTCCCAAAAAATGTATGATCATATAACTGAAGACTTTACATCTGCTTATGGGACCTATATTAAAGTTGCATGAGTAACCTAACTGTAGTACTTGATTTTGTAATGAGTATTCTTTTAGTGCTCTGTAATATTAAATTAACTTAGTTTAGTTGGATGAAAATAGTAAAAACTACGAAGACACAGCTGGATTTTATCCTTTAAAACATAGGCATAGGCTTCAAAATGGAGTGAAGTTACGTTGCTGTTTTCATGTGAATCACTCCATTTTCACTGTGGCTTTCCATCCATCATGTGATTGAGCAGGTTTCTTGGAATACACCAAGACAAATCCTTCCGTTTTGACAACTTAAACTATAGATACAAGCTCAAGGATTTTCAGATCAGTTTCATAACTTTGGCTTTAGCCTTTAAAGTTGGAAAAGAACAGCCTGAGCCAGTTCTTCTTTGAAGAACACAGAAGAGAAAACTTATCATAAAATAGGTGGTAGGTGGTAAGTTTGGGAAAAAAAACATTGCCTGCCAAAGTAGTTGGATGAATTAATGGGTGAATAGACGGAAAGGCCTTTGAGACAGAAGTGTTTTATAACAAAGATGTATATTTTCAGTGCAAGAGATCCTATGATAATGTTCAGTAATGTTGACTTTTCTTCATTATAGATAATAGTAGATGTAGATTTAATCACTGTGTTGGACAGCAAATGTTGGTACAGCTTTGACAACTGTTTGCTCATTAGATTGTTCTCTTGGTTGGCTTTCTGAGAGACCTGCTTCATATTCCAGCTAGAAACATTTACACAGGAAATTAAAATTTGAAGTAACATTCTAAGAATATTCTAGATTTAGTTTGGCTAAATTTTTCCTTTTCTCATCTTTTAACTTTCATTGGCAAAGTAGTGCCCATTGATGTCTAGCAATATGTCTGCATGTTTCCAAACAATTTCAGATATCAGACTGATTCATGAATGGGATGCAGTGTCATCTGAAACAAAAGAAATTCAGAGGTAGCAGTAACTAAGGTTGAGATTTGATTTAAAATTTTCCTTTCTTTACCCATCTCTTCTCTAGTGCTATGTATTTTGCTTAAAAGTTACATCTGTGTCTTAAGGTCATTGTTTTTGATAATGTTTAATGCCCAGAGTAACATGAACAGTTGTTTGATGGTATTGGGGTTGCAGGGGGGTGACCTACAGAAGGTCTGATCTAAGATTAAGTTGTATACTGTGCCCACAAAGCAAGCATTAGCTGTCACTTGCCATCCATGACATGGCTTGCTGCAACTCTTCAAATCCTGGGTTTGAATTTGTCCTTGCCTTGTTGAGAAAATAGAAGTTAAACACAGAGTCCCGAGATCTAGTTGAACTGTAGCTCAGTAGGGTTCGAAAATTCCTTTACTTTGCTATGCTGTAGTCATTTGGGATTTCCCGTTGTCCCTCATCCCTGTTTTGTATTTTGTTGTATTTTGATCTGTGTGACAAGACAAATGCATATCATTTATGAGTAGGAAGCTGAATTCAGTGGCATATCGTCTCAAAAACATTCAACCAGCAAGACTTCTCAAGGCCCATCACTTGAAAATGCAGCTTTTATTTCTGTGCTTCTGTGAGAGCTGACTTCTTAGATGCTTGGAACTGGCTTAGGTTGGCAAACACACACAGTGTGATGCCGAGCTGTTTTGAAAATGCGAGCCTACCCTGTTAGTTGAATAATATGGGATATTTGCAGACTTTGGGTCTATGAATGCTACTTTTTGAAATAATCAGGGAAATTACTCTAAAAGCAACAAAACTAACTTTTCTGTTTCCTTCTCTTTCTTTGAGCTAAGCACATACTTCCACACATCTCCCAGAACAGGGATGATTGGTTTCAAACTCAGATGTTGCTTACATAGTCTCAATTCACTTTTTAAATTGATCTGGCAATGGATCAGTGGAATTAAAATGAGAAGTTTATGAATCACAAGACCTTTTGTACCATGGCTTAATGTTTTTAATGGTGGACAAGTGACGGGCCAAAGCTTTTGATAGTTTCCTGTCAAATATTTGTTTGAAAAGAGACTACTACTTCTGGTCTCCTGGCTAGTTCTCATAAACCTTTAATGGTATTTGCCAAAATAATTTATATAATGCACTCTAAATAGAATGATGTAATGCACTTCCAGTAACAGAAATGCCCACAGTTGGGTGCATCAGTCTGTTTGGTCTAATATGATATCATTAACTAGTCATATTAATTCATTTGAACAAAATACAAATAATTATTAGATTGTGAAAATGTCTGCCTGTACTACAGACTTGTGCTGAGTATTCCAGTTAGTAGATTTTTAATAAATAATCCAGTAAGAAGTCAGGCTCTTCCTCACTTAGTGTAACTTCTTGGAAAATATCATAATCACCAATATCCTGTATCAATATATCACCACCTAACCCTTCACTTTCTCAGCTTGTGGGAAAACAAGCATAATTATGGTGCCCAAAAGGGATCCTTTAAGGAAAGAAACAGAGCTCCTGAAGCAAAATACTTCTGTGAAACACTCTCCCATCACCTCCTGTAAATTTAAATCAGGTACCTGAGTTGTGTCATTGGAGGAATAGAAAAGGCAAAAACCACAGTTAACGATATAGTTGTAACTTAGTACCTTGCATTGCACCTGAAAAAATGGGGACCGACGTGAATTTGAGGACACATTTAACATGGGCCACAGCTAAGCAGTTAAACCCCAGTTTAGAGACTTAAAGCTGGAGTGATTATGAACTGAATTTTCTTTAATTGGGTTGTGTCATGTCTTCAACACTAAGTGGCAGGTACTTGGCTGCTTTATGGAATATCTGTGTTTAATTTTTTAAAAGATACTGTATATTGCATTATTGTATTACCTAAATACAACAAGTAACATACTATACATGTTTATGTGTGCCTTCCAGTGTGTAAATTTAAAGCACATAAAAGATGTGCTGTCCGAGCAACAAATAACTGCAAATGGACTACATTAGCCTCAATTGGAAAAGACATCATTGAAGATGAAGATGGTGTAAGTACTATTCAAATTTAGAGTATTTTCCAAAGCTGTTTCTTCTTTTTTGGGGAAAAAAGAAGGCTAAGCACAGATATTTTGCCATGTGACCCATTGAAGTTAATGGTAGATGGCTATATTCCTGCACACTTTTCAAAGATTAACGTGGTATTTAGAATAAAAGTTATATTCCTATCTCACATGACAACTTTAGTATTTGTAGACACTAGATTGCAGCTCTGTTACCAAATTTTAAAGGCCACATACAGGGAAACTCTGAAGCTGGAGAATTGGTCCTGTAAGGTCCTACTGCTCTTAAGCAAAGGTGGTATTTTATGCTGCTCCCATGCTGTTTTGGTAATTGATTTTTGCATCCTCCTTACCGACAGCTGTTCCCCAGGAGGCCTGCTTGGCATTCACTGATGTGTGGGGGTTTTTTGTACTGATGAAAGCAGAAATTTTAAAATTAGCAGGGGAAATGACAAAAGCTTTTCAGAGGTTTATCGTGATAGATGGATTATTTTTACAATGTATTTTTACAAACACAACTATGTATGTGCCACTGGCGTGAAACTTCTTCCTAGAAGGTTAGTACTAAGTACACATCATACACAACCATTAGTGTCATGAGTTGCCCATGGTATTACTGGGACAAAGAGTGCACTTGGGTAAAGGCTTTGCACTTCATTTAGGAACTGCTTTATAGAGCTGTGACTTACTAGTCATGGTGACCGAGGGGGTACATAAAGCCACGGGGATATTCCACCATCTTGCCTATTCTTTTGAATTTTAGTTATTTTAATTGGTTTGTGTCATGTAGTCAACATTAAGTGAATTGGTACTTATTTGCATTATGGAGTCTCTAGATTTAACTGCCCTGTTGTTTTGTGGTTAGTTGCTACCATAGTACCATGAGTAGTTGAATGAGGTGTGTTCTTCAGTTGTCACATTTTCTGCCTAGCATGTGAAATATCACCGTAGTCCACCTTCATAGTTGTTGCCTTGTGAGCATCAGTGTCGCTTATGCTGGTCAGCCACACCTGCTTCTTTGATGAAAGGGTAGAGCTATGGGAAATAGTTTAAATCCACCTATATTTGAGAGACGAAAGCCTCTAATTTCTATTTCTGAGTATTTAACTTCTATGACTACTTCTTCACAGATAGCTATGCCTCACCAGTGGTTAGAGGGTAATCTGCCCGTCAGTGCCAAATGTGCAGTCTGCGACAAGACTTGTGGCAGTGTTTTACGCCTGCAAGATTGGAAGTGCCTTTGGTGTAAAGCTATGGTAGGTGCAGCGAACCACGTCCAAGCGTCTAGGATTTTGCCAGCTTTATTGCTCACCATTATTTTTATTTTGTCATTTCATAACTGTGCTTTTGGATTACGTAGGAGCAGGCAGCTTTTGCAATCTCAGGTCTCTCTAACGTTCATAATTTCTCAGGCCTGTCATACTTACTTCAGTTAATTTTTAATACGCTCACAGATGCAGCTTTTCTTTAATAGGTGTCATCCAGTGTGTTTTCTCTGCCTTTGAACTGATAACTGAAGGTTCAGATGCCTGTTCTGTATGCCTGAGAATCATGTTACTTTCTTTTATCATCAATATTGCTGTAATAATGTTTTAGTAATATTTAGTAATATTATTATTAATAATATTTGTTACTATGTATTAACATTATGGTAGTAATATGTTTATTACTGCAAAATCCTAACGTTCTCTTCTTCAGCACACTCTGTAGGCTGCGGATTGAAATTCTGTAACATGTTATTGCTGTTTCCTCGAAACACCGTTTTCTCTTAATTTTTTAAACTTGTCTAAAAAGATGGGTTTCATATGCTAGACTATAGAAGTGGAAAGTCAGTAGTTTTTTTCTTATTGGGCTTTTGGCATATAGATGTCTGAGGCTCTGTGGGAAATGATCGACATCTCCAGAGGCGATTTGAAATTTAGGTGAAGTGTAGCACCCTCTGCACCTGCCTGTCTTTCCAATAACTGCAGAAGAGGCCTCTACAACACATAGTTTATGGGACCCACCTTTGGCGAGTTGCTCTGGCTTGATAGGTGTGCTGGCTTTGGTGCAGATACACCTTCCAGAACGTCCAGGTGGACCAGGCATGCAGAGAGGTCTTGCCTTGCACGTGCACAGTGTGCCCGCTGCCCCCAGCACAGACACTGGCTGCTGGGAGCTTGGTCCTCCCTTGCTCATGGATGGAGGTAAGCGATTCCCTTGAAAGGACAATTCATATCTGCTATAGGCGTAGCTGAAGATGAAGTACTCCAAACTTTGTTTTACGGAATGGCTAACAAGCCTTTGTGATTGAACACTCATGTTTGGTTTTTTTTCCCAGTCTCGCTCCTCTTCCCTCTACACCTAAATGTTATGTATTAGTCCATTTATTATATATCTAAATATATTAGTATATTTTTGTTACACAGATACTCTATCAGCTATATTTTCACCCCAAAATTCTTTTTTTGTAGGGAAATAATTTTTTGTTTCTTTTGTAGGTTCACACTGCCTGTAAAGATCTGTATCCTCGTAAATGTCCACTTGGCCAATGTAAGGTATCGATCATACCTCCAACAGCACTAAACAGTATAGACTCTGATGGTACGTAGTACTGTAGTGTGTTCAGTGGTAACTCCGGACTTACAGTGCTTAGTGAGATCTGTTTTAGGCTAAAATCCTGCTGCTGAACACAGGAATGCAGTCTCCAAATTTAGAAAATACTATAATTTTCCATGTAGCTTTTTAGAGGTTTATTTAACTGACATGATTTAAAAAATATTTTTGAAAGTTCCTCCACTAGAAATTTTCTCCCATTTTATTTATAATCCTTGGAAACTTCTCAAATGAATGACCGGAGTCCTCAGATGAAGTGGGCTGATGCCTGCCTGGCGTGCATCACTCATTCTATATATTCTCAAATTCTAGATAACTTTGCTTTATGCAGAAGTAAGCTAGCTGAACAGCTCAGATCCAACAGCTACTTTACTAGGCTAAAGAGAGGCATTTCTTCCACAGCCTCTCTAAATTTCTTTTAAATATAAGCAGTGTAAGAATCCTGCAACACACTAATTAAAAACCTAGCAAATGTTCAAAACTCAGAGGTGTTTTTGGCGTCTCAGGTTAGAGATGTGTGAGCAGTGGGAGACTGCATTACAGGTAGGGACTAGATTTAATAAGGAATATTCTGAAATCTAACTGCTTTAATTTTACAGTTTATGTTGATGGCAAATGTTGACCAACAACTTCAACACAATTTAATGAATTTTGTTGTATGACGTTAGTAGAAGTGATTGTTTATGCTGCATATATTAACTCTTTTCTGTTTACTTGCTGTGTGGTGTCTCAGACCAGAGCGTCATGCTGCTATTTATTATTCATGCTAGGAAGATTGTTCCATGTGTGAAATTATTTTTCTTGTCATTTAAATAAATTAATCAAACCTTATTTTGAATTATACATTATGTTAATGTGGAATTAAATTAGCATCCTTTAATGACAATTTTTTTTACCTGTAGCTTTAGTAATTTTTTTAGGCAACTGAAAACAACCTAGTAATTTTACTATTGCCTGAAACAAATGTCAAAACATATACCTGCGATGACTGATTTTGAAGTGTTGCTGACAAACGACTAATTCCATGGAGTGGCCATGTTAGTGACAACAGTGTCCATTAGTACTACTTACTAAGGGCCGTATAGAATGCCTGCTGTAATTAGTTAAGACCTGCGTTGACTTTTAGAAGCTTTGGAACACAGCTGAAGGTCTGTTGTTCAGTGATTCTGTTATAATTAATTAATAGTATAACTTCAGTCTGAGATGAAAATTCACATGAGAACTTCTGTCTGGGAGCAACTGAGTACAGTAACTTTTAAAATCTGTGAGTAGTCTTAGAAAGCTCATACAGACGTAGATGATCCAGTTCAACCCAGTAAGGTTAAAGAAAAATCAGATTAAAAAAACAAAGACTTGTAACTGAAATATGTATTTGATTGTGTGATAGTCTGTGAGGATGAGATTTGAGAAGTATTCTAAAAGGTTAATAAACATTTTCACTGTGGAAAAGCAATAAAGCTATTGTCTTCAGGATTTTACTAAATCTAGGCACTGAAAATACTGGAAAGAAAAAAAATGAACTGGTATATCTTAAGCAATTATGTTTTCCTTGCAGGGCTAATATTCAGTTCAGCATTTACATTAATGCATGATAAAATGTACTCCTTTTGTCCTTCATTTCTTTCTTCCTCTTTCCCATGATTTCTTTTTGTGTTGTTCATGTTAGAAAGCCTTATTTATTTCATTCTTTCTAACTATGTTCACAGGTTTCTGGAAAGCCACATGCCCGCCATCCTGTGCCAGTCCTCTTTTAGTTTTTGTTAACTCAAAGAGTGGAGACAATCAGGGAGTAAAGTTTCTTCGTCGATTCAAACAGTCGTTAAATCCAGCTCAGGTGTTCGATTTAATGAATGGAGGACCTCACTTAGGGTAATGACATTGGAAATCTTGAGCAATCCTTTCTGCAAGGGAATTTAGTGCAAAGCATAGTGTTGTGTTGTCCCCTCATTGCTGTAATTCTACCACTGTGACTTTCTAATTAAAATCTAGGAGATTTTTTAATTAAAATCTAACAGAATTTCAGGGTGAATTCTGGTGGGTGAAGGGATTGTAGGATAATATTTTCTTTTTAGAGAAATTAACTTGAAAATTCAAACCCCAAACCCATCAGCACAATTTTTTTATGTCTTTTTGGCTAGCTTTGACTTCTGTTAACCGGTAAGGTTCAAAACTGTTGAACATGGGTACATGCTTTCCTGAATCAGGGCCTTTATGCACAGTTGCCTGGGTGCTTTTCTTCCATTTCATGTGCGTAATTCAGATATTCCTGTGACTTCGTTGTGAATAGCTATGGAATAAAACTGTTGTCTAAATGTACTCTGTATCTTTTTGAATTCTGAACACAAATGTCAGTGGGGGAGTCTGCAGCGGGTGATGGATGAGTGCACTAAAACTTCTGTCATTGGAAAACTACATTCAAAATACGGTTTTAGGCGACATATGTAAATGGTCAAGAAAATGAGCATCCCACAAAATTTGGAGCAAGAACACAATTAAAACCATCAGGCATTCTACAAAATCTAAGGGCTGATTGTTGAGGAGATAAGAATGAAGTTTGCATAGCAGTGGCCATAACCCAAGCATCTTTGCACATTCATAAAGATTAAATTCATGCACATTTTTCTGTTGTGTAGCTTAATTCCACTCAGATGTAGCACTGTGTTTAAATAGCCTACTAATATCAGTTAAAGCAACTAGAAACACTAATTTTTGTACTCCTACAGATGCAGAATTATGCTTGTTTGATAAAAATGTAGATTAAACAAATGCACAAAAATTCAGTTCAAACAGTAGGCAAATAATACAAATATAATGGAATACAGATGTGGATTTTTAGAATTAGTACTGTGTTACGGACATGTTATATTAACTCTTTGAGTTGTAATACTCTTTTCATTATAACCCTGATTTAAATCTGAATTTAAGCTAAGTGCCTTTGGGCTAACGTTCTATGCATGTAATTATAATGTCAGATAAAAGTGAGGAAGGTTCATCTTAATTGGAGAGATAATTTTTGAGAGAGAGCAGTCTTAAAAATATGTCTGTCTGTTTGCAAGTTCTCTTGCTTTATACAGTTGTACCTACCAGCTGGATGGTTTGGGAGGCTCACTCTGGTTTTGCACAGTTATCGTAGATCAGGTTGGTTGCTTTTAAGTATTTTTCCAAACAGTGGTCCTTAGCAGTTATTGCATCGGGTAGTGCTGATGTTTTCTTTTTTCTGGTTGATCTAAAAAGCAGAGTTGCGTTCTTTGAGATAGTTTATTTCTAGGGGTTTTCTCCCTTTTCTCAAAGTAGGAGAAATTGTTCTGGTTTCAACAGTTTTTCCTTAAATATCTGCATCTTTTGTTCTGAGTAGGCATCTGCCTATCATATACAAGTGACATTACTTTCTTGAGGAAAAAATGTAAATGCTTCAAAAATTTGTGATCTTAATATGTTGCTTTTTAGAAATAGTTCTGAGATTATACATATTCTGGAAAATAACATGCGTTAAAACTAAACATCTTTATTATTTTAAGATTTTATACTTTCCAATTCTTTTTGGTTTTTCAAGCTTAAATCCCAGTTGTTTTTACCTCTTGGCTGTTTCTTCACACCTCATTCCCCTTTCCTCTGTGTCTCACCTCTCTGCTTGTTCTGTCTCTCTTGTCCTCCATTTCTGTACTGCCTAAGTGTTGTATCCTGTAGCTGTTAAAAGTCAGAGAACAGAAGGAAGAGCCAGAGGAAATGAAAGCAGGATAGGGCTTTAAGGATTTAATATGAAATATTAGTATTATTTGTCTTACATTGTTGTGATCACCTTTTGTGTAATAATTGCCTCCAACTGTCTTTGTATTTGGTTAGTCACGCGTTGGCAAAAGCCCACCCGTATTGTGGAGCACATCCTGTTGTCCTGTCTTAACCTCTTCTTATGAAAAACTCCCCGTGACTTGTGTTTCTGGCTGAAGTGGGAAGCATAGACAGGTTGCAATTTCATAGCTTAGAATTTTTTTAAAATATTGATAAAATTAATAAAATACTAATAAAATCCTGAAAACAATATCAAGGGCATTTTTTAAAGTAAAACTTGGCATGTTATTTATCAGAAATGTCAGTATAAGTGGAATATACAGCAATAGATGGGATGGAGATAGGTTTATTAAGTAGTTGATTGTATCCACATACCCCAGAACAATAAAGGAACCACCATAGAGGTGCTGGGCACCGTATTTCCATGAAATGATTGCTAATGAATATAACTGGTCTCTTCCTAATGGACGTAACTGGCTCTAACAGGCTGCGTTTTCTCTGCAGTTTGCGGTTATTTCAGAAGTTTGACAACTTCAGGATTCTTGTGTGTGGTGGCGATGGAAGCGTGGGTTGGGTCTTGTCAGAGATTGATAAACTCAGCTTGCACAAACAGGCGAGTGTGTACATTTACTTTCCTTGACTATACTTACTAAACTTAGTTTTGTACCCTTACTTTTATTGACTTGGTTCTTTGTCATATATATGGATATGGGCCAAACTCAATAGTTACTCTTAAATGAGAATTTTCACTGTCATAAACAGGACAAGTTGTATCGGGATAACACAATTTAGACATCAGCTCTATAATGAACAGTTATTGCTTGAAATAATAAGCATTTGTAATATTCTGTGCTTTTTCTTTCTAGTTTTCAATAGTAGATTTATTTGCTCCTGATTTGTGTTTCAGTGTCAGTTAGGAGTGTTACCCCTTGGTACTGGAAATGACCTTGCTCGTGTCCTCGGTTGGGGAGGATCCTGTGATGATGATACGCAACTTCCACAGATTTTGGAGAAACTAGAACGAGCCAGCACGAAGATGTTAGACAGGTAAACCTAAATGTGCATATACATAATTTACCATGAGGTTCAAAGTGTATTTGTTTGGGTTTCTGATGGCCTAAATCCCATCTTGAAGACTTAATGATCGGTGGTTTTGGTTTTTAGAGTGCAAATCGTAATCAAGATAGTAATGGGGACAACTCTTCAATGTTCTTTTTAAACTGAAAAGTGAGAGGGGAGAGTGGTTGATGAATCTAGGAAGCATGCTCTCCAAAGATGAACAAAAGGAGACAGGTTATTGTATAACTGATGAAGCTGCAGAACTGCCTCTTAAAAGAAGTTGTAAGCATTAAGAAATTGTTTAGATTCAAAACCCTTTGGGGCAGTTTTATGGACTCCATGCATGCTATTCAGTGCCATTAAAGGTAGCATCTTCAGGAACCACCTGAGCTTTCTGTCCCTGGATGTGGGGAGAACTTGCAGCCTGTGCTTTCACCCTTCATACTATATAGTCATATAGTATGACTTCATATAGTCCAGCTGTGGACAAGATGCTGGGCTAATTGGATCTTTGGCTTGATCCACGACAAATATTTGTGTTGGAGGCATTTTCTTAGTGAAAAACAAGTGGTTTTCCCACTCCTTGTTTTGTGTGATTTTCACCCATAAAGCAAAGGAGCAATCCTGATTTAGAAAAAGTCAGAGGAGATAATGGTCATGTCATTCCAGTGAAGGTGTAACACTGTTTTTGAGAGGAGTATTCTTATTCAGTTCCTCTCTCTCATGGGGGTTTCTGTTCTTGCTTGAGTTACAAACACTTGAATGTCATCAAAGAGGTTTTTTTTAAATGAAATAAAGAAACAAGTCCTTTTTTATTTTAAGCTTTTCTGCAGACTACTTGATCATGTTACAGCAAAGTATGCAGAGAAATGCTTGTTACTGATCCTTAGAAGTAATTGTTGGCCTAGGCATTCTGAAAGCTTCATAGATTAAATAATTTTTGTCTTTTTCTGTACGGAAAAAAAGCTCAGTTTCATTTTTTGTTCTAATTTCAGCAGACTTGTTCCTAAGGCCATCTGCAAAGATTACTTGTTCTTTTCATCAGGTTTTGAAGGATGTTGCTATTAGCAGTTTCATACTATCCATGCTCTACAGTACTGTCCTTTACCAGGGGAAGAAAAATATATATGTCAATGAAGATACTTGACCGTTTGCTTTGTTCTCGTGCCTCCTTCCCATAGCTGAGATGAAAAGCTAATGTTACCCTGGAGCTTTTTCTCTAGGAACACATATATTTTCTTTTGACTTCTGCAATTAGTTTGCATGAATTCGTTCATACTTTGAGTGTTTCAATGGAAAATCTTTGTTGCCTGCATTGAATGTCCCATAATTTGCTCACAAAGAAGGCTCATCAACAAATCAGTAACAAAATATTTGAGCAATAAAGAAAATTATTACCTTTAGTCTCAATTATTTCACCCATATTCAGCTAGCATACAATTAAAAATTAAGATGCTTTACTTGTTGGTTTGGGTTATTTTTAACAAGTTATTCTGTGGCATGACAATGAGTTTTTGTTGATATGTTGGAGAAAAGATAAAACCAACAGTCTGGAAACTTAAAAGCTGTTACGTTTCATTCAGGTGGAGTATAATGTCATATGAACTGAAATTACCAGCAAAGCCTTCTATCCTTCCAGTGACTGCAGATGAGTCAGAGGAATGCCAGGTGAACTTTTACGTTTGTTTTGTTGTTTCATATACTTAACTTTGAGCTTCTGGGATGACAGTATTTATAACTGAAGGATTTGTGTGAAAACTAGAAAAAGATGTTTTCTGATCTGCTAACTGAACTGAGTTAATGTCTGTTCATGGCATATATCTCAAGGAATTAGGGTTTCCAGTTCTGTATTATTTGCCAAAAATGAACGAAGGTACGGAGTCTTCAGCAGAAAAATCAGAAATATTTCTTCCTGAAAAAAATGTTAATATATATGTTATATATTTGTTTATATATTACATATAATATATACTATTTTCTATGTGAGAATATAATACAGTATT